TACAAAAAAAAATCCCGCACATACACACGTATGAGTCGTCTCAGGGATCCTGCTAGCATTCATCTCCTATGAACAGCCATCCCCTGGAGGTTCTGGACTAATTGTGTAGAGTTCCTGGCTGAGGCACTCTGACGAAGTGGGAGGTGCATGTACACTTCATCTTCCTGCACTGACAGTTCTGCACTTCTCCATAAGTCAGCATCTTTGAGGTAGAGCATGGTAAACAGAGAAGGTAGGGAAGGTAGGGCTTAGCAGAAAAACTTGGGAGTTCAGCGTGTCCTTGAAACTTTATTGACTGACAGTGCAGTGTCAGTGTTGTGCAGCGACTGGAGACAGCTGCTTTCACCTCTCATTGTCGTCTTGCTGATATGATGGGTGGGCCCCGCAATCTAGGGAGTCGCTGCTTTTGCATGTAATGCATTGATTGGTTGGTATAATGAAAGATGTTTACACCAAAGTGCTGATTAGAGCTCATCCAACTCACCCAGAGGGGTTATTTAGTCTGTGGAGTATTTGTCAGGCACCCACTCTCATTCAGAGTAAGTAAATGTTTATATAACCGTCAATCACTAATGAGTCCGCTCACACCGTCTAACAGTTACAAATGCAATTGTTTGACTATAACACAGCGGCTGGATCTGAAATGTGCCTCTAACTGAGAAGATTCAATAAAACCTTGAGTCTTTTTATTAGATGGCTGTGCATGCTTTACACCAAGCTAAGCCCACTATCTTCTCTGAAGTGCAAATGAGACTATAATTAGATTCCACACGTGAGATGCAGAAAAGTCTGTTATTGAACAGTCTACAGAGGCTGCAATGAATGGCCACAAATACTGCAAATAAGGCGATTTGCATATGTGCAAGAACATATAAAACTATATTAGTTTGTTGGATAAAAGGGGAAATAAAAAGCTGTGACGCTGCAATGGAGGTATTGCTATATATATATATATATATATACATACACACAGCAAAGGGTTATGCTGCAGTAATTGAAGGTAAGCTATTCATTTTATTAGAATGCATGGTGTTAAACAATCACTGAGTGTTGATAAGCTGGTATGGAATTGATCTTTAATGACTACACTTTGTTTTAATTAGTGCCTGTGCGCCAGGGAATGTAAAGCATTTGGAACGACAATTACAATAATGAATTTACCAGATATTGGCTATAATGAAGGCGTAAACTCTGGCAAAGCACACAAAAGCTGCACACACACACACACAATAGCACACCCTCTCACTTTCACCCCCCCTCACTTATATACTAAATGCAGCATGACAAACTCCTGCAAGAGACTTGGCATGCTGGGTGCGTAATCCTCCTGTAATGTATTCTTTTTCTGTCTGCCTCCTTCCCGCAGCCGCTCAAAGTGCCACGCAGCGGAGATATGGCATCCCCATCTAAAACGTGTGATGTGGGCTGTTGTGGGCACCATAGGACTTGCAACATGCCCTGTGCCAGCATAGCCTTGTGCACTTTTCAGAAGTCGCCAGTACTGCACTGCAGCTTGGTCTTTGTCCAGATAACACCATTGTGTCTAATTGGTCCTCACTGCTGGAGTCTGGCATCAACTAGGATTCTTAAAAGCCCCGGTTTGCAGCATAATGGCAGAGAACAGATCAAACATTTATGACAAAAAAAGTACCCACTGCTTAGTGCATGTTTTTTTTTCCCCACTCTGGGATAATAATGTGACCTGATCTCTCAGAGTGTCAATGCCAGTCTAAATTTGTTCTCTCAGGGGGAGCAAATGCGTGTCTCTTTATAATCTCTCCTTTTCTGCAAAAGGCTCCAAATGTTGGGGACATTCCTAAATTAGGACTCTGATTGCCGGAACGTACTGTAGCACCCAACTGAACCATTTGTAAAAATTTAAAGTAGCTGCTGGCAGTTCTGTTCAGTCAGTGTCATACTGTCAAGAGTTCAGAGCACAAAAGTGGAGCTTTCAAATGTTTACCACTTTAATGACAGAACAAAACTTTCGGGGAAAAAAACAGTTTTTCTGAGAATAAAAATAACTGCAGTCTTTCAATTAAGACTCTGGATGTGAGGAATGATCATTAGAAGCGTATGTGGGCGAGCCTTTGATAGCCAAAAGATAGACCGTGGATGGAATATCACTTCAGCGAGGCGTATTTGTCTCCGAATGGCACTTCAGTGCTCCTTCTTTCTCTGTGATCTTCGAGATGCACTCAAAAAAAACAACGTAACCATGAAGCATGGGTCGTGCCAGGGGCTGAAGGACATCAACTAAAGCAGGCTTACACACTCAATCGTGATGGTTCATTACATTCCGATAAGGGCCCGTTCTGAGAAAGGATTATTGTTTATGGCTGAGCATTTCCCTCGGTAAACAGAAAAGCTATTGAGATATCACTGAGCAGAATGACAATTACATGCATTATGCAGTGTTGATGTTTTCCCATTCTGCACCTTACTTTCTCAAAAGAAACGGCACTCCACATGACCTCCTGACTCGAGGTGCATTATCACCTCAAGGTGCATGTAAAGAGGAAAAGTGTTGATCAGACTGTTAAATTAGTTTGTGGTGTGTATGCCGTTGCTAATTTTGTGCTTTGGTAACAAACACTTTGAAATGTGCTGCGTGTGTGTGCAGTTTAGTATGCTGTGATAACACAGGGTGTCATGTTTATGTGTTGGGCAGTGTTTTTGACCACAAACGCCTCTCTCCCTCTCTCCCTACCCTTGAGCTACTAACAAAGGTCAACCTATTCTAAGTGAGGACAATACAACACACCTATGAAATATTGGCTCCCACTTGTTGACCCCATTAAATGTCTGATAACTTTATCACCACCTAGCAAGAGCTGCACGACCTGAATGCTCTTCCATCCAGGAGGGCCCGAAGGCACTCACAGTATAACATCATTACAAATGCAAGAGAACACCAAACCACCTGACAGGTTTACAAGTTGCTGTGAGTTGTGTGCGTGAGAGAGAAAATCAGGGGGTTTACAAAGGGTATACGCCAGGTTGTTTCTCATGCTTACAGCTTGTCACCGTATGTCTCCGCCTGTCTTTAGGCCAACCGACCCAGGCACCCTCTTTGCTATACAGCATGAGCAAATGAAAAACTAACCTTAGCAGATTTCTAAAAATGACTTCAGGCATGAGATAGACCTGAATAGAGGAGCATGGAAAACCTCTTAACTTTTACATTCCCCTTCCTCGCCAACTGAGCAGCCACACCTCCCTTTTTAATACATTGTCCTTGGATAATTATAGCCAGAAGCAGAGGGTTAATTGAACTGAAATGGGTTATTCAGTGGAGTTCCGCTGAAGAGCTAAGATATAGAGAGGAGGAACAATAACTAGAAGAGGAGCTGTTAAGAGCAGCAAGACTGGATTCTTCAATGCTGACTCTCTCACACTGATTTTCAATTTCCATTTTATTCACTCACTTTAGGTTGCTGGCGACGAAGGGTTTTAAATTTCCAAAGTTATGGGTTCTCTGTTAACTTTTTCAATGTTGTCGTTACGCCAACAGGCTCCATATTTTATGAATCTTTGGGGAACTACTAAGCACTTGACTAAGGTTGCAGTTAGTATTTTTAGACTGGCAAGAGCACTAATAAATCGGAGGGAAAAAAAGCCACTACTTTTTGTAGATATAATAAAGCACATGGCCAAATTGCATTCAGCAGCGCAGGCTATATTTAGCCACTGGTTTACTATGAAACAATGCCCATCTGCTTCATCGTAAAGGACCTGGACATAAATATGCCTGCATCTGACATGTACAGCTAATCAAATGTGGTAACTACTCATCAGGCTAGACTATAGCAGAGATACTCCACTTGCTTTGCCTGTGGGCCACTTTTGCACAATGACGGGAAGCCAGGGGCCAGACGCAGCAGCCCTGCACAGGTCAGGTGTAGGCAGGGGTGTCTCTAGGATTTGAGGACATTCTGGTCTTAGCCTGGAGCTCTGTCAGGGATTACTTTGATAAACAAGTTCTATTTTGATACTTTCTATGCACTCTGGCATCTTATTTAAACCTTAAGTACAAAAACTTTTCCAGTGTGAATCAATTTATATTTATTGTGAAAAACAAAAGGCTGGAGGGGCCACACAGCACCCTTTGCCCACAGGCCGTAAGTTGAGTATCTGGATATGTTTACACGCATGCTGATATTCCACTATCAATCTGGATATGAAGATATTCTGAAATTGACGTGGGTCATGCCAACAGCATATTGTGTTTAGATATTCAGAATGAGAGTTTTCCAAATTTATCATTTTCTAATTAACATGTGGGATATGCCTGTATTATTTGGGCATGTGTACAATCCATTAGGAATATGCATCAAAACTGGGGTTTTTAATGTAGTTCGGGACGGACAACCTCTTGTCCGTTTACGGTCGGCTCTGTACGTTATCTTGGAGATGTTGTAAACAAACCAACTTGCCAACAGTTTGCAAGACTGAGGTTGAGATGCATGCCCAAAAGAAAAGCCTACATTTCTAATTATAAAAGGATAAAAACACCTACTTTAAAACATTATGAAAGACTTGGATCTCAACAGGTATTTGGATTTGCACAAATACTGCAACACTGACCTTTTCAAGAAGATGGCTGAAGAATTGAAGGTGGGGGGCCATTTTGATGCAAAGAAGCTAGATGACAGGTGGCTCCAGCCGTCACATTTTTCTTAAGTTTCTTTAGTCTGATAAACTACATGTTATGGCACATTAATTGTATGTACAGCCACATGTAAACAGGAGTATTAATGGAATATTAACTTTCATTATGTAATCAGCTTAACTGAAAGATTGTCTTTGTTAGGGCATGTAATTGGAGTCACTGTTAAACACGTATTAGCTTATATAGAGCAAGCTTGACTACAAAATAAATGAAATCATTTTCACCAAAATGATCAACAGCTAGTCATGTTTAGAATACCTTTACTTTCTGTGTAATGGCTTTAACATGAAACATATTCTGGTATTATGAAAAAATAAGAATAGGCTTCTTTAATATATTTGAGTAAACTTTATTTACAAAGAAAATTAAGAGATTCCCATTCTTCTAGATGGCTAGCACTCTGATGGATAAATATGCTCCAGCTGACGACCTGCAGGGAGAACAAGAAAATAGGGCAAAAGGGGATAAGATGACTTGCATACACCTGATGACAGAAAAGCAATTTCTGAGTAAACACCAGTGAAGATAAACATGACAACAACAACTCTGACCTGCTCCCACCTGATACACATCAATGTCTGCAATAAACTGTCACATTAACTTGCTAAAGTGCACGCTTATCTAAACACAGCGTCAATATCAAACCACATGACATTTGTCGCCGTCACTCTCAGGCGTACAGGTAATTTATTTAAGATATGCTGCTGAGCAAAAGGCTAAGGAGGCACAGTGAAGGACTGTCATTGTCTGGGGTCACTATTCAAACCCAGGCTGAAGTAAATGCCACATCATCCTGACATTTTAATGAAAGCAGATATGCTAGATCAACATGGCAGTCATAATTACCTTGAAGGCTGAGTAACAGCACTGGTCCATTTTACTTCTTCAGGATCTGATGTCTGACGACGATGAAGGGGAATGCAAAGCCACTGCCAAAGAACAGCACCATCATGCCGAGCAGACGCCATTTGTTGTCCACTGAGAATGGCAGGTTCTGTAAAAAGACGAGTATTATGGCTCAGTGAAACTCCTAGAAAATGCAAATCCTCTGCTGCATCTATTTGACCTTACTGTCATTTAAATCCATAGCTGGGAATAAACAGTTATTTTAAAATTTAATTCTAAATCATCATTGTTACGTGCAGGATATCTGTGCAAAGAGCTTCATACTTCATCCAAATATTCAACCGCAGCCAGGGTCAGCAATGAATGCTAGGTCTCAAGGCAGGAATGCCATTTAAAGTTCAGTGTCTCAATGATAAGAGCACGCTTTTCACATTTCCATTTTCAATCTTATTTTATTTATTTCTTGCCAAGTATGTCACATGAGAGTGAGATTCATGTTTTACACTGGCCACTGAAGGTGATTAAGAATCTGACTGTAATTTTTTGAGTGCATTTTCAGAAGTCAAAATCGGTTGAAAAAAATGAAGGGATTTATTTTGTGTATTTATTTAAAAAAACGAAATATATCATCAAGGGACCAAGAATGCTTAGTCTGAACTCTGTAATCAAAGTCCTCACATGACTTGCTTTTTGAAATGAAAAGCTGAAAGCTGTAGCAACAATTTTCAAGTGAATCAAGGCCTGTAGTCGTCAACAAAATACACTTTGCATTAACTATGAGAACTCTTTATAAAATGCAACTAGGGCCAAAAACGCAGAATGTGCACCACACAAATGTCAAGTTCATTTTGACGCTATTAGTGATGTCCTCTATTTCTTTCATCAGCCGCGGCTGCAGCATGCATCACATTATTTTACATTTTATTCTAGAGGAAGCAAACTGCAGTGTGCAAAATTAATACAGGCAGTCTACAGTCAAAAAGCTAGGAGCACCTTTCTCAGATTAGCTTGATGTTAGCATTCAGCTGTGACCTTAGGTTACATTAGCCGGAAGTACTGAACAACCTTCTTGAAGCATTAATATTCATATTGTGCAAGTGTCTGTGGATATACTAGTGTGTTAACAAGATACCTACATCTTATTAAATGTATGTAAACTTGTCAGTAACTTTAACCGGCTTATTCTGGTTTGCTATGGTGCTTGTGGACGAGTTAGCAATGATGAAGTTAGCTAGTTAATAATTAGCAACCTCTTAGCCACAAAGCTAATGCTAACAAACAGGTAGCCCTCCCAAATTGTCCGTCAACAAGTCAACACTTGCTGTCACTAGGCTGCCCTCTGCTTTAAATGTTTTGTTATTGTGTAAAAGATAAAGTAAAAATGCCCGTGGCTAGTTTTGCTAGCATTACTTTGACGCTGTTGTCAATAACGGACATGACCTCCAAGTGACGTTAGCTAACGCTAGGCTACAGACAAGGCCGGATACACACATTATCGCATTTAAAACAATAATGCTGATCTGTGGAGATATTCTCACCTTCCCTGGTCCTTCAGCATAATGCGAAGAACGAACAGCAGACGTTGTGAATCGTCTTACAGCCTGTCCCAGCATGATTACGGTCTGGATTCTTCTCTGTCTCGGTAAAACGCTGTTGACTGCGACCTTCTTGTTTCCGTGAGCGGTAGCCGCGCAAAGGGTTATGGGAAATATAAATGAGGCAAAGGCGTGTGGGAAATGTAGTTCAAATACCTCAGGAGCGATTACTGCAAGTATATCTGTTTTATCTTCCTGCAGGGAGTGAGGTTATGTTTGTAGGTGCATTAAAGATCCAGATTTAAATTTGTCACGTTATGAATGTCTCATGACAAATATAATTCGGCGCATCTTTTTGAAGGCTGCCTGTAGCTTTGTTTAGGGGACTGACATAACACTCATTCATCACAGAGAGAAAGAGCAAACTGCTTCAGGCATTGTGCTGAATCACACCCAGACAAAGGTCAGTTTATAGTTGCTCTTGACTTATTTTAAAATTAAACTGGACAGTAAATATCACCTTAGTCTTCTCCTTAGCATCCCCTTATTCCATTTAAAAAATGATCTCTTCAATTAAATCTGGTATTTTGACTCACCTGTGTGTGTGTGTGTGTATGTGTGTGTCCATCGATGGCTTCAGAGTAAGCTATCTGCAGCCTTGGTCACAAATACAGGCTATAACTGCCATGGTGATACCTAGAGCAGACAAAATGACTGATGGTGTGACCCTCCCTAAGCACCGCTGCTGCTAGCTTTTCATTGATTGATGCTCAGGGGTGTAAACTGGGCTTTACACCATATAACTTTAGAGGAGGTTTGGTTTATTAATTTATGATACAAACAATACTAATTATTCAGAATTTGTGTGGATGAATTCCAAGGTTATAGGTTCCAGTGTCACATAAGTTTTCCAGAGGGGCCTTAAGCTAAAACTAGGCATATGCTGCAAATTCCCTGTCAGGGGATTTGTGTGTGTGTTGATGCATTTGAAAGTCGATGTCTGCTACTCCTCACCTGACTTGTTTCTCATTTGTCCGTTAAAAGAACAACATCATCTCACTTTCATGTATTCACTTCAAATTAATTTATGTTTCCTGCTTGTGTCGGTTGCCATCCGCAGATATTCATGCTGTGAAATTCAAGGAATGGAGTCTCATTCTCCTGGGTCAAAGAAGAGTTTAATCAAGCTCGGTGTTTTGATCTCTGTCACTCATCAGATCCTAAGCGTGAACACGGGTTTGGCATTTTATGCCGTCGCATGCCTTTTGTGTCTCATGTTTCCATAAATGAGTTCAGAGATGCCAAGTAACGCGATGCATTTGTACAGCGTCATCATAAAACGAGTGCCATATGGATTTAGCAGAATGGATTTCACAGGCAGTATGGATGGATACACACATTAGGCTACATGTTACACAGACGTTAGAGGAAGGGTGGTGGTTTTGAAAAGGATAGTGACTGTGACAATGTAAGCATGTTATCTTTCGCCTGAAACCACTGACATGAAAGAGAAGCACCTAGAAAGAGGAGCAGGGATGAGATTACTGATTACCTTCTATATGTTTCTCATAAACTTTTCAAATTAGATCTTTATAGCTTCCCAAACAACAGGGCATAATTATATTGTGTAAGGACATGGGAGGGTTATGAGACAATGGGACCCTGGGCACGGATGTGCAAAGGGCCCCAACCACCTCTCCTACACAGGAGCAAGATACACAGAGTTTTTGCATGTTTTTGTAGTCGTTATGCATCTTTTTGTGGTTCTTTTGTTTCTCTTTAAGGGAGCGATCACACCGAGATTAAACGCCAGAAATGCGACGCCAGTAAAACCATTGTTTTCCTATGATGCGACGCATCTGACCGGTTTTCAAGTGTCTTTTTAGACGGGCGTTTTTCCGGCGTCTTTTTAGACGCGCGTTTTTGTAGACGCTTCTTTTTAGACGTGTGTAGACGCTGGAAAGTTAAAATATTTTCAACTTTTTGAGTGTCAGACGCCAATAGCTAGCACGCATTGAATAAGCGCTTCCAGCGTTTCAAGCGTCTTTGAAGTGTCCGCGTCTCTAGCGTCTCATTTCTGTGTGATCGTCCCCTAAGGGAATTTCATGTCTCTTTTGATCTGATTTTGTGGCTCTTTTTTGTTTTCTCCTTGTGGCTGTTTTGTGTCTTTTTGCACTCGTGTGGGTCTCTTTAGGGTGATTTTGTGTCTCTTTGGCATAATATTAAGTCTTTTGTAGGCTGTTTTGTGTCTGATTGTAGTTGTTTTGTGTGTATTTGCGGTTGTTTTGCCTGTTTTTGTAGTTATTTTCTGTCTCTTTGCAGTTTCTTTACACCTTTTTTGTGGTTGTGTGTCTCCTTGTGGTTCTTTTGTTTCTCTTTAAGGTGATTTTATGTCTCTTTTGGTCATTTTGTGGCTCCTTTCGTTTTCTCCTTGTGGTTGTTTTGTGTCTTTTTGAATTGTTTGGGTCTCTTTGAGGTAATTTTGTGTCTCTTTGATGTAATATTATGTCTTTTTTGGCCGTTTTGTGTCTATTTGTGGTTGTTTTGCCTGTTTTTGTAGTTATTTTGTGTCTCTCTGGAGTTCCTTTGCATCTATTTGTGGTCATTTGTGTCCCATTGTGGTCATTTGAGTCTGATCAGTATGTGTTAATTTGAGAGACATATTTGCAACTGAAGGCCAGGGGGCTCCCTGACAATTTTGGCCCCTGGGCCTGTACGTGCAGGCAAACCATCTAAGAACATTACTTTGTCTTTACACAATCGTCAGGGATAAATCAATTTCACAAGTCCATTGAGCAGACTGACAGACAGATTATTGTCTTAATTGTTTTCTTGACATGTTGCAGTTCCACAGTAACATATTATTTATTGATAACAACACAGAACATAACACATCTGAAAAAAAAGCTTGAAAAGAATCAGATTACTAGAAATGAGTTCTGATGTTTGAAAGCAACTGGGACTAACGAGGACATAGCCGCTGAATGAAAAAAACAAAACAGAAAGTTCCCTTCAACTAATTCTCCAATAATGAGCCACAGACTATTTATATGAATTTTATGTATGAACTGTTTTAAAATTTTCCACATCTGATGGCCTGAAAATATTTTCCGAATGCAATTTATTGCAGAGTGGAACGCTCTCTGTTGTGAATGAGCTGTAAAATACATGATTCATCGTTGAGTACAATAGTTGTTCACTAAATTAAATCCTTTCAGTTCACTCATGTCTTTGAAGTCCACCTTGGGAATACTTTTTGAGAGCTATTTTGAGTATTTTCAGGAGTGAAGCAGGTCTGGTGCTTTACTTCTCACACAACTTATTAAACCACTCAGATTTTTGGGCGAATAAGAAAAGTTCAATGTTCTATATTTAGGCATTCATTAGAAGCTTTAGTACTGAATATAATACGGGTAGAATTTCCTGCACAATCTGGCCCTGACACGATGTCAAGTCGGATTATTATATTTTGTATGTGATACCTGTAATATTAGTGCCACACTCAGTGCCAGTAGTAGATCATGTCCCAGTACAAAGTGAATGTTTTTTCAGTGTTGTCAGCTAGTAAAATGCCGTTCGCCTGACAAGTTGGGGGGGAGCTCTGACATTGTCTGCTGTGATGCGTGATAGCCGTGGCAAGCTGGTTACCCCTCGTCATGGCTGCCACATCCATCAACGCAGGGTCATCACCTGGCCTGCTGCCACATGTCTGCCTTCTCATTGCCAGCGCAATCTGTTAAAAAGGAATGAAGGATTGGGAATCACACCACAAACAATGTCATGAGGCTCTACTATAAATATTGATGTTATTACTTGTCATACAAGGTTGGTTGCACAGTCCTGAAATCCATCCTGCTTCGTGTTGCCATTTCCATCCATCCTGGCCGTCCACTGTTTGTTGTTTTTTGTTGACTGTCTTAATTTCTAGCTATTGACTTTCCCTGGCTCGTGAGCAAATCTGCTTTTAACCAGAGTGCTCTGTCAATAGCCAGATCCTCTGTATGAAAAAGAGGAGTGCAAACATGCTGTGTACACAAATACACAAAGCTGTCATCTTACTGTAAATAATAACCACCATCCCCCATTCTCATTTAAGTCCACCAATTAGCATTCAGCAATATGCAGTCTTAGTCATATCTGTAAACAAACCTTTAATCAACCACGTACATGACTGTGCATAGCAATATACCAGTCTGTACGCACAATTGCACTACATGGTAACACTATCACTAACTTGATTCATGGTTATTACAAACAAAATGTGGCTACATTCAATAAATGTCTGATTTTAAGATGACTCCATTTTGAAAATATTTTGTAAGTAAATGGTTTTCGCAGTTATCAACAAATCTGCTACAGTATATGATGAACAGCAGCAGAGACTCCCAAGGTAAACAGCATCTCTCTCCCTGTCTAGATTTGCAATAATGTTCCACAAAGGAGTGGAGAGGTAATGGATAATGTTAATCAATGAGGACAGTTCATTTTGGCAGCAGCACTCTCGAGTTTAAGGTGTCTTGCATCATTGCCGCTGACAAGAGCTGATTTGCTCAATTACAGTGTTTGGTGGAATGTGAGAGCGGATAGTGGAAATCTTTTTTGGGCTTAGATGTTATTTTTTCCTGTTTCCATGGGCAGTGGCAAAGTGGCAGTGGCAAAGTGGCACATCAGGTGTTTGTCTTTCTCAGTTCAGTCTGGATGGCTTCAGCTGTCCAGCTGCAGGGCTGTAATCACCGGTTTATTACTGGAGGGGACAGTTTTCAATCTACACCGTCTGCAACCCAACCCTCAAGGGGAGAATGGGGGAAATTTCCCCCCTGGATCAATTCTTAGAAACTTAACACCTAAACTGACCATTTAGAGTTAAAAAAAAAAAAAATCTTAGACCAGGGGTTCTCGAAGTTTTGAGCGCTGTTTTAGGGAGCCAGCATGTGACTGAGGGCCACACAGGAAAAGTACACACACTTTGACATTGATATGACTTTTAATCATACATTTCATTTCCATAACCGCTTATCCTGCTATCCCAGCTGACATTGGGCGAGAGGCGGCATACACCCTGGACAGGTCGCCAGACTATAGCCCTTTTTAAACAGGAATTGTGTAAATTTGCAGGAAAGCCCAATCAGTCTTTTTTCAGCATTGGCAGTATAAAAACACCG